CTTGGTATTGGTTTCCTTCGTTAGTTTTAGAACCTTGGATAAATTCCTGTAGGTCAATAATAGTGTGCTTGTCCCGACCGCACCCCGGGAATATGCTATATTACAACCTCTCCTATAATTGTTCTGATGTTCTACCTTGGATAATTATGTTATCAAAGAAACATTTTGTGCCGGGTATGCCCGGTCCATAAACTTTTGCCATAAATTTGGGGCAACCTTGACTCCAAACATAAGGCGGTTCACTTTGAAAGTGCCCTTATGAGTACTAATAGTTTGCATCATTGCACTTTCTTCTGTCATTAACATAAGCTTGTCGAATATCTAAAGTGCAAAATAACTTGCCCCATTCATTGCGCTAAAAATGTCTTCTATAACAGGAATCGGATATTTTTCATCTTTAATTACCTTATTTAATGTTACCTTGTAGTTTGCACATAGTCTGATTGATCCGTTGGGTTTTACGATCGGTACAATGGGTGTACCCCATTCAGAATTATCCACTTTAGCCATCACTCCATCCTTGCACAGACGTTCAACTTCTTCTTCGACTTTATTTTCAAGGGCATAGGGAATGCGTCTTGGCTTGATATGATGGGGTAAGCATCTTCTTTTAAGGTAAGGTGACCCTTAAAATTAGGAATCCCATCCTCGTCGCCAATAATATATATTCGCTATATTGAAAAACACATATTTGTACATGTACCAATATTTTAATGACGATGAAAGGTAGGCGGTGACATAACAAAATGTAACATATTTCCAGCCGTGTATATATCATTATGGAATACACTTTGAATCATAACTGTGTGGAATCAAAACTCATGTCGTTCCATAAATCTTTATCTTACAAATACTCTTCAATTTTGTAATATAACTTTTCAATTAAAATACTTTTAATGTAAGTTTTAAACTTAGGAAATGATAACCTTAATATATACTCTAGAATCTTATTGTAAAAACGTATACAATTGCTCATAAAATAAATTTACTTTAGTTAAGCAAAATCGTGGTACAGGGTCAAGAGCACGTCAAGCTTCACACTTACGTCTTAAATATAACTCTATGCCGCTTACGATAAGTACGATCCAAAGTACAAAATGTCAAGCTTGATTTGCTCTTGACTGTACCAGGAGTTTGGACTTAGTTCTGAGGTTAATATTATGGATATCTTCTTTTTTAATGAAATTATGTATATTTTTACGCGCATACACAATATTTGAGTAAATGTACTGTGATGCCACAATACATTTACACACACACAGCACACATACCAGGCTCCTTAGACTTTTACCTGAGAGAAACCCGAGAACCTAAACGGTACACAGAACGAATCGCTCGTTTTTGCAACACAAGTTTGGTTTGTTAGATCTACCACTTTACCCCACATGAGAATCCCGTAGGACATTATACTATGGAAGTAACTAGTCTAGCAGTAGCAACATCGGCAATCATCGGCATCTCTGGGGTGAAGCTATCGACAAACAGGGCGAAACCTTAGCGATAAGTCTGGATATTGCTAAGGCCTTTGATCGGGTCTGGCACCGTGGTCTCCTCTCCAAGCTTCCGGCATTTGGTCTTCCCGGACGCCTTTGTGAGTGGATCTCCGGCTTTCTGCGCGAGCGAAGATTGCGTGTCCTTGTTGACGGAGGTACTTCGCGGCTCGTGACAGTTAATGCTGGGGTGCCACAGGGCTCCGTGCTGTCGCCCACGCTGTTCCTTCTGCATATCAATGACTTGTTGCCTTTTGGCAACATTCATTGCTATGCAGATGATAGCACAGTGCACGGTTGCTATTATAAGCAATCGTCAAGCACCCGGGAGGACCCTGAGAGAAACCGGGAAAAACTTGTCGCTGAGCTCAACCATGTTTTGGAACATATATCGTCGTGGGGCTCCCGAAACTTGGTTGAGTTCAACGCCAAGAAAACCCAAGTATGCGCGTTCAGCTCCAAAAAATCCCCATTCCTTCCACTTCCCCATCTTCAGGGTGCAACGCTGACGCTGCAGGACAAGCTCAGTCTACTGGGGATGAGCATCCGGAAGGACATGAGCAACAAAGATTATATCGAGAGCGTCATCTGTACCGCGTCGCGCAAGCTTGGCATCTTGAACAAGGTGCACCGATTTTTTACTCCATAGCTGCGATACCTGTTGTATAAAGCTCAGGTCCGAAGCAGCATGGAGTACTGTTCGCACCTTTGGGACGGCTCTGCCAAGTACTTGCTCGATGCCCTAGATGGACTGCAGCGCTACGCCTTCCGTGTTGTCAACGATCCTCATGTAACTGAGCATGCGGAGTCGTTACAGCTTCGCAGAGATATAGCGTCTCTTAGCGTATTCTATCGCCTGTACCACGGTGAGTGCTCTGAAGAGTTATTCAACCTTATCCCTTCCTCTCCTTTCCATCAGCGGACCACCCGTGCCGGACTGCGTTGCCACAGTTGGACGGTCAGTTCAATACCGTCCCGCACTAAAAAGTTTGGCAATTCGTTTTTATGCCGAACCATCAAATTGTGGAACCAACTCCCGGCGCATGTATTCCCTCCCCTCTATAACATCGGGTCCTTCAAACGTAGTGTGAAGAAGCATTTGGCAAGACCGGCAAAATGATAGTAACAGAGTGAAGATATTTGTGTTTTCCATCCGTTACTCTCATCTCTGGACTGTATTCGCACTTTCCATCAGGCGCGGTGCAAAAAGCTCATGTATTCTACGGACTGCGTATGCAGCAGAGCTTAATCTGCTGACTAAGTAAGATATATGTGGAAACCATTGAAGTTTGCTATCTAAGGTCACTCCCAAAAAGACAGCTTTACTAACAAGGTCTACCTTTTCTCTATTTATTTCTATGATTGGACTAGTCGATTTTACATTAGGTAATTAAAATTTAACACTTTTTGTCTTCTTGGCATTGAGCAATAAATTGTTAGCATTAAACCAATAAACTACCTTTGAGAGGGTATCGTTAATATTGTCACAGTTAGCGTCACGTCTGTCTGTTTTAAAAATCAAGGATGTGCCGTCAGCATACAATACTATTTCGTAATGCTCCTTAACAAAGAATGGCAGATCATTAATATAAATGAGAAATAAGAAAGGTCCAAGTATTGAGCCCTGCGGAACACCCACTTTTTACCGGAAAACCCAAAGAAGTCATTCCAGTTCGTCCAGAGAAGTACTGCCACCTTACCTATTTCTACCGACAAGCAGTAATATCAGCATTACTGTGCTCCGGTTTTGAATGGTAAGAGTGCTGGTGAAGTTACAGGCACATGGGAATTGTCAACTTATGTCACAGAGTCACGGGCGCAATGGCAGTGCCAATAAGATATTTGCGATCTGAAGTTCTGATTGGCACTGCAACTGTTATAGACAGGCGTGTAGCTTACCATCAGACGCACGACTTGTTCATCCCGTCACTAGATACTATAAAAAAATTGTCAGTTAGGCAGTCGACAGACAGAACATTTTGGGACAATCTTTATACAGAAACCGAGTTTAATGACGGCGGTGCAAATATTGTTGGCTATATATATATATATATATATATAGGATAGGGCTAGAGATCTGAGAGCTTTTAGGGATTTAGGTTAATTACAATTAACTTAGGCTTTAAGTATATGTACCTTAGGGCTATAGGGTTGTTCTTGCCATCTCCTAATAAGCACCTGTACAGTTTATCGGTGTTGCTACAAAACAACTATAACTTTCAGATACATCCACTAACACTAGACGGCAAACTGTGTATCAACTATTTATCTGTAATCTGTTTTATACTAACGAACCGCAAGCAAGACGTCCCGTTCGTAAAATTGCAGGACGTCAATGTGCTGTCGCTCTGTAGCGTAAGGCGTTGCGGCCGTCGCAGTGAGCTGCGAGACCGACTTATCGGCGACCTCGATCGGTAAGGACAGCGGTATTAATGACAGCTCCTCCTTCACCGTCGGCCAAGCCGCAGCGGTTTCCACGGTCACCTCCACACACACCTGAATTTAGTTTTTTTTTAAATGGAAGAATTTTTCGCAAGCAGAATTCACGCCTGCATATTATACAATAAATGAAGTCACCTCGATGGAGCTACTGGGCGCAAGTCGCATAGGCAGCTCGGTGAACCGGTCGGCGGTGACGCCGCACGGCCGGAGGCACCCCGCACCGCACGGTGCGTGCGTGCTCTCATCCAGCACGGCCCACTGTGCGAAGTTCCTCGCGGTCTCGCCACCGTTTTGCACATCAGCTGTGTTATAACCTACGCGTTCCGTTGCGGTGCTTACGCCCGCCATCTGCGCCAGGTCCAAGGCCTTCCCCGCCTCCAAATCCAAGCTCACGGTGCCCACTATTCGAGCCACAACGTCTAGGTATCCGTTGCCCACATTTTGGATACGGAACCGTTTGCGTGCTCTGATTCATCAATACAAACACAAGTATTAATCACGTTACCTCAAACGACGTGAAGCTGTTGTTCATCATGTTTTGTGAAATGTTATTATAAATGGAACAATTCGGTAACATTTTATTGAATCAATAAAAAAATTGGGACCCAATTTTGTAATACTTCAAACAACCAACCTGAGTACGTCGTTGACTGGTAGCGTAAGCGCGTTGAGTTTGACAAGCACTGGCGTGGCGGGCACGCGCAAACGGCCAGCGCAACGCACCGCACGAAGACGCACTGTCTGTGGCAGAGGCGTCAATCGCCACCACCACGGCCTGTACAGCGAAGAATCCACACTGGAGTACAACTTACACGCGCAGCGCGGTGCTGGGCACCACAGCGTCGACGCCTTCTCACCCTCGTTGAAGGCGTGGTTTGGTGCGCAGCAGAAGGCGGTATGGTAGCGGATCGGGAGGCATCGCCTCCGTCAACATTCGTACGCGCCACTCGGCAGTCACACCTACGCCGATCTCCTGCACGATCGGCTCCACCTGGACCGATCAAATACGGAAAGGAGCTGAAATGCGCCTACGAAATAACCTCGACAGTTCGCAACAACATTAAGGGGCTAGAAGTGTGAAAAGACCTGAAAGTGGGTCTCCTGTTGTGGTCCGTAGTCTGGCGAGAGATAAAGTTCAATGCCAGTGTCAACCTCTTTGGGGAGACTGCTGCTGGCAGATTCTTCAACCACGCTTGACCCAGCTGGAATAAACACGTTAACGTGTACTTCGTTCTAACGTGATTTTGCCATGCCAG